AATTATCAGTTTTTCTTTACTTTGTTTTTCCCCTCGCTTTATATACATTTAGCTTAGAAACAAATTGTATTAAATTTAATATCCACTTACTGGATTTTTTAAAAAGTACATCTTTTAGGGCCAGGGATTTAGCTCAGTGGTTTCGCCGCCTGCTGCCTGCTGCACAAGCGCAAGGACCGGAGTTCAATCCCTGGTACCAAAAAAAAGTACATCTTTTTCTTGAGTGTTCAAGACACTACGTTAAGACCATAATTTTATAAAGCAAAAATTATTTAAAACTTTTTGAGATAATAGAAATTGAGGAAAGAAAATATAAGGGAAGTGAGCCTCTGAGAAAGAGAAATAAAATATAATTTAGAAATTCAGATATATGGAGAAGATGTTGTTTTTGAAAACATAAACATCTTTGTATCCTTATATTCTCTTGAATGTAAACTATTTTTAAAAAATTTTGCTTTGTTTATGCAGAAAATATAAATTTTAGACATACAGGATTTTTCAAGCACATACATAAATTTAAAAAATCGTGAACTCTTCTAAAAGTACTATAAATGGGTGACTCATTGTTATTAGTTGAGTGTATTATATGCCATATATATATATATATAAACCAGTTGAATGATAGAGGAAAATTTGAAGCAAAATTTCTGTTTTTTGTTTATTTTTCCTTCCTCCTCCTACAAAAGCAGACAGGAAAATCATTGCTTTGGTCTTTCAGTTATATTCTAAAAGGAGAGAACTCATTTTCAAAGAGTAGCTTTTTAATATTATATGTAGATTATTTCTAGAAATCCCACTTTCCATTCTCAGTTTAAGGGGTTGATGTGCAGGTTAATTTTGGAGAACCACGGAGTGGCAAGATTCTTATATACAAAAGTGTTAGTGCTTAGTTGAAAATCTTTCACACTTTTGTAAAATAAAATTAACAAATGCATCTATGAAGGTAAATATTCTTATAGTATTGGTCATTTAAGTTACTTGATCCTTAGTTCTCGTTGACATTTTATAAACTCATTGGCTATCAAAGCAATTGGAGTAAATTTAACTAATGATGCATTTTATTTGATCGTAGTCTTATATTTTATAGAATAATTAAAATAAGAATTGACCTGAATTGATTAATATAGTGGTTTTCAGTTACTTTGTTGCCTCATCAAGAAGTGATTGGTGGGGCCAGGGATTTAGCTCAGTGGTTCCATTGCCTGCCTTGCAAGCTTAAGGACACTAGTTCGATCCCCTGTACCCACCCCCCCAAAAGAAAGAAGTGATTGGTAAATATGTCTTGTTTGTAATTCTGTTTTTATAGGCATGGCAGAAAGCACGAAGTGATGGGTGGGAGCGGGCCTTTTGTGAAAAGAATTTTCTTTCACAAGCCACCATGGAAATAATTATAGGCATGAGAACACAGTTGCTTGGTCAGCTTAGAGCATCAGGTAAAGTCTTCCTTCAAAGAAGCTATTTAAATCCATAATATTTCTAATGTTTATGTCAGCTTCTATTATTTTTATATTACCATGTTGCGTGTCTTATATTCCTGAACTGATTTGTAGGCTTCTACCTATATAAACTTTTACTTGTTGAAAGAAATGATACTGCAGAAGCTGTAGTTGAGAAATATATGAGCAGAAGCTGAACCCTTTTGATACTGTTGGCAATGAAAAATTTATAACATACTTGTTTACAAAGCAGTTTAGATCTTGTAGTTGTTATGTTTTATCACCATTAATAATTATTTTAGCTCTAGAAATTATAAAAATGTAAATAGATTGTTTAAACGCTGTTTTTTATGTTTTTCAAACACTAAAACACTGGTAATCACTTGAAGGCATTTTTTTTGAAAGGGGATTTAGTATTGCTTTTTCCTTTTAAACTTCCTTGAAAATATTTTTGTTTTCCTTCTCCTTTTCCTCCCCCCCTTTGGCTCCCCTTTCCACCTCTTCCCTCTCCTCCCCCTCTGTCTTCCCATTTTTTCCCTTGCCCCTCCCTCCTTCCTTCCCTTCCTCCCTTCCTCTGTTTTTGGAGTATTGTAATACATTGAAGTGATAACTGTGATTGTCGAAAGTACCAGAGTCCAATTCATGGATTATTTAAAGTGCCAAAGTAATATAAGGGAAGAACCAGAGGATTTGGAGTTGTCTCATATATGGGGAAATAAGAAAATTTTTTGAAATTCAAGCAGATATACTGTATTTACTTGACTTCACTTTTAGACTGTCATAACCACGACATTTTTAATTGTAGTTAAAAAAATGATTTGGGTTTCCACTTGTGAACCTAGCATGTTTCTGAAAACTGATTTTAAGAATGTGCATTTAAAAAATGTCTAGGCCCTCAATAAATACTATACTTAATCTCTCCTGGGCAGATCTAAAACTTTTCTTATATTGGTTCTATAGTTTAGACTTTCCAGAACAGATTCTATTAATTGTAGAATTTGGATATCATTAAACTTACATGGGACATACATTTTTTTAATAAAAAATACAAATTTTGTTGTTGTTTTTTGTTTTTTGGTAAGAGGGATCAAACTCAGGACCTTGCACTTGAGAGACAAGCAGTGGCACCACTGATCTGAATCCCCAGCCCCAAAAAACATAACAATTTTAAAGTATCTTTTGTATAATAGAAAAAGTATTTTTTCCTCTCCAAAGTTTTTTGGTGCATGTTTGTTATACAGAATAGTGGGTATTGGCATATTATACATGCATATAACATACTTTGATCTTCCCCGTCCCCCATTGCCCCTCCCCACCCTCCTTTCTTCCCTCCCCCTTATATTCTCTAGGCTTTGTTAGAGCAAGAGGAGGTGGTGACATTCGAGATGTTAACACAAACTCGGAGAACTGGGCTGTTGTTAAAGCTGCATTGGTGGCAGGCATGTATCCCAATTTAGTCCATGTGGACAGAGAAAATGTAGCATTGACTGGGCCAAAGGAGAAAAAAGTACGATTTCATCCCACTTCAGTTCTCAGTCAGCCTCAGTACAAAAAGGTAAAATATTTTTGATATTCTTAGACCTTGAGATAAAACTAATTTAGATAGTTGATCAATGAAAATACTCCAAATATCTACCTGCTTTAAGAAATTATCTATCTATCTATCTATATATATATATACAGAGAGAGAGAGAGATAATTACACATTGGAATATTTTGTTGAATCTTAGAGTGGAAGAGACAACTTTGGAAGAGTAATGAAGACTTTTATACAAACTACATAAGAAATGACTTTAGTTTTTGCTTGGTGCTATCACACAC